TTTCCATTGAGAGCTGCAAGTGAGTAACAACTCTGAAAATCAGCTTGTTTCCAGATCAATTTTTTGTGCTCCAAAGCAAAGGTGTTGTTGGAAAAGCACCCTCAGAAATACTCTAACAACCCTCAGGCATTTTATCCCTTTTAACAAGACAGTAAAATAAAAGCCCCTATTATTTGTGCTGTTCACACTCATTTTCTGTGCGCATTGCCTTTTTTCAGCTTCGCTCAGCAGATAGCACTTGACCAGGCAGCACGGCGTACCTGGGAGGTGGCTATGGACCAGCCCCTTGAGCTGGAGATGTGATTGCCACACAGCTGGCACGGCCGACTCCACTGCCCAGTTGGAAATAATTGGGGAAAAATTTTGTGATTCCACAGAAAATAACTGATTTGAGGTCTATTATTGACTCTCTGACCTTTTGTCACTAATCAGATCAGCTAACAGCAAAAAGGTTATTAAATGAATCAAAGATAAGAAAAACTGAGCAGTAAATAATTTTTCAAAAAAACCTCCTTCAGATTATGTTGACAGGTAAGAATTCACCTTCAGTAAAAAAGTATCTAGAAAAGTCCCATGAACTTAGCTTTCTCTTAGTAAACAGAGCTTGTCATGCTCAGTGGCTCCCAGCAATTTGGCGAGTTTTGTTTTAGAGATATCCTCTCCTTTTCCTCACTCCACTCAGTTTGCTGTAGGCTGTCACCTCATTAGACTGTTACGACTTGCCATGAAACTCTGACCTTGAAAGCACTTATATTTCTGACATTTTTTCACCTCTCTTTTTTTTTCGTTTTCTTTCATGCATAATTTTTATCTTGCAGCAAGATCTTTCTCAGGGCTCAACTTTTTTAATCCTGGCTACAGACACAACATTTCAGCTCGCACCAGCCCTAATAATTTCAAGAAACCCAAACCCCAACACACTGTGTATTGTATTTGAGTAGGCTAGATAAGCATACATATATATGTCCTATACATATATATGTATGGGAGACAGGCTCTGAGTTCCCAATGAATTCATAGTGATCACAGTTATTATGGAAAGAAGCAATTTAATTCCTTATGGCAGTGGTTTCTTCCCAAAGTATAAAGAACGAATCCTGGACATAACTTGCAGGCGGGGTTATCACACTTTGGGTACTGCCTTTTGTTAGTTATGTCAGTATCTGTACAGAGAAGGTTGTTAAAGCATCAGTGTTCACTAGCGATTTCCACTCTATCTTGCAAATCAACATAATTCTGCATCAATTTCATTTAAATAACACTTTATATTCAGTTTTAGAACTCCCCCTACCATACTTCTACTTTTGCCATTAACAGGCATTTCGTTCTCTCCATTCATGGTTCGTGTCAAGACTTTCCATCTTGAGGTGAACACTTCCTGCTTCTGTAGGTGCCCTAACCCTCATCTGCAGTGTTAGGTGCTGTATGAACACCTTCCAGGTGAAAAGCTCTTAAAATCTGAATAGAGAAAATAAGTATCAAAGGGGAACTTTGACCTCACATCACAGATGAGAACTAAGGGTTTAAGGACAGTAATTCCTGCAATCATCCCATCTAGCTTTGGACAATGGCCATGCATAATTCAAGTGTCTGGTTGCCCTAGACAGTAGTCTACAAGGAAAGAGATGCCAAGAGAGAGACAGACTTCTCTACAAGCAATTCATGTGTAGTATGGACTCTATATTTTAGAGAGATCAAATGTTCTCCCACTGTCTGTACAGGAAGACCAGATTAGTCAGCTCTTTATTTAGATCTCAGAATCCGTTACCAAAAGATCCACACACCCTGCTATTTTTCTCACCTGTTGAAGCATCCTGGGGAGAAATCTGATCAGATCATCTTTCCCTGCTGCTGTTCATTCTCTTCGTCACTTCTGTCTATTTCTCACTTAAAATCCACCTTAGCTTTCTAGTCTAAATGCAATTTCTGAAAAATTTGTATCATTTTGACTCTGTCCTTGGGGACCCCCAGTCCTGCTGTCTCCAGCTCTCTCTATGTCCAGGATCTTACCAATTTAATTAATGATAAAATTGTCTCATATAACAAGATTCTCATTATGCATCACTTTCCAATCCTTTCCCCTGATTGCTTCATCTTTACTATTTCATCTAAGATGCAGCATCTGCTTCTTACTCCCTTCTTGGACCTCCCATTTGCCCCACTTTGTCCCATCCCCTCCAACACTTCTCATTCTCCATTTCCCCTTTCAAAATACAAAACCACCAGACCTTCCAGTTATAGACTACAATTCCAAAACCACCAGTTAACAACCTCCTCTCCTCTCCTCTCCTCTCCTCTCCTCTCCTTGCTTCATCTTTACTATTTCATCTAAGATGCAGCATCTGCTTCTTACTCCCTTCTTGGACCTCCCATTTGCCCCACTTTGTCCCATCCCCTCCAACACTTCTCATTCTCCATTTCCCCTTTCAAAATACAAAACCACCAGACCTTCCAGTTATAGACTACAATTCCAAAACCACCAGTTAACAACCTCCTCTCCTCTCCTCTCCTCTGTCCAATCAAAGTACACCATTCACAATCACTGCAGACCTCAACCTCCAACTCCATTTTAGACCTTTGCTGTTTACCTTCCATATCTTGCATCTCAGTGAGCCACTCCTGCCAACATCTCTAATGAGTCAGTCTCCTTTGCCAGATCTCAAGAACTTGCTTTCCATACATTTTCTCCCTATTCTATCAGCTGCCTGAAAGAGCCAACTAATCAGGCTCTGATTTTTGATATTTTGCCCTCCTTTGGCTACCTCAGTTCCTTTCCAGGTTATCTTGTTTGCCTTTTTCCCCTTTGATAAATCTACATTATTCCTCCTTCCAACTCTGAATGCTTTGGTTGCTTTCTCTTCTCTCACTACCCTTAATCTCTGTGATCTAACCTACAAACATAACTTCAGTATTAACAATAAGCAGATGATGATACTAGGGAAAATGTTGCCCCTCTCCTGAATGGCACAGGGGCCTTGATGACAAAGGACATGCAGAAGGTACTCAATGTCTTGTTCACTTTGGTCTTTACTGGTAAGACTTGCCTTCATCAGTCCTAGATATGCACAAGTCGATGGGACCTGATAGAACATACCCACAAGTGCTGAGAGAGCTGGTTGATGCCCTTGTAAGGCCATTCTCAATTATCTTTAAAATCCTGTAGCAAATAAGGAAGGTCCCTGAGGGCTGGAAGAACACAAATGTCACTCCTATCTTCAGGCAGTGCAAAAAGGAGGATTCAGGGAACTATAGGCTGGTCAGCCTTCATCCCTGGGAAGGTGATAGAGCAAATAACCCTGGAAATAATTTCTAAGCATATGAAGGACAAAAAGGTGATTGGGAGTAGTCAGCATGGACTTATGAAGGAGAAATCATGCTTAACCATCCTGATCGTTGTCTGCAGGGAGATGAGTGACTTACTGGATGAGGGGAGAGCAATGGATGTTGCGTATCTTGAGTTTAGTAATGTGTTGACAGTCTCCCATAACATCCTTATGGATCAACTGATGAAGTATAGCCTAAATAAATGGACAGTGAGGTGGACTGAAAACTGCCTGAACTGCCAGGCTCAAAGTATCAGCAGCACAAATTCCAGCCAGAGGCCAGTCACTGGTGATGTACCCCAGCGGTTGATAATGGGTTCAATACCTGGATGAGGCAGAGCGCACCTTGATCAAGTTTCCAGATGATACAAAACTCGAAGCAGTAGCTGATACACCAGAGGGTTGCACCTCTCTTCAGAGGGATCTGGACAGGCTGGAGAAATGAGCCCACAGAAACCTCCCAAAGTTCAAAAATGTCAAATGTTTCCCCTGGGAAGCAATAACCCCAGGCACCACCAGACACTGGGGACAGCTGGATGGAAAGCAGCTTGGCAGAAAAGGACATGATAGAGGTCCTGGTTGAAGCAAAGAAGGTCAACAGCCTACTGGGCTCCTCAACTGGACACAGCCGCGAGCAGCCCTCTTCAGGAAAGCCTGCTTTGAGCAGGTGGTTGGACTTCATGATCTCCAGTGGTGCGCTTAACAGTCTCAGCTTTGCTTTCTTTCCATTTGAGGAGTCCCAGCCATGATCTCTAAGCAACCTCCCTTCTCTATCACTGTAGTCAATGTCACCATCCTGTCACATGCCCGTAACCTTGATATCAGCTTCAACTCCTACTCCTCTCCCAGATACCACTTCCCAGTTACACTGAAGTCTTGCAGATCTGTTCTGTACCACACACTTAAGATCATGCCTTTCCTCTCTATCTACCCATCTAGGTGAATCTCTTATCTCAGACTTTATCACTGAACATCTTAATTACTGCAGAATCCCTTTCTCCTGTCTTTCACAGACATAAATTTGTCCTGATGATTTTACCTGGATGCAAAGACCATTCTTCCAGATACAGCATTGATTTTTTTCCCCATTTATAAAAAAACTAGGCTGCCTGCATCCAATCAACCAACACAACCATTTTCTACAGTCCATGTGCTGGATTTTCAAAGGAGTGCTTCTGTATTTTCTTCCATACTGCTCCCCATAAATACCTATAAAACAACCTTGTTATTCTCTTCCTTTCTCTGCAGTAATATCTAGAAAACACTGACAAGGGCTAGGCTGCAGATGCTCTGTTAGCATTGCCTGTTGGTATTGACAAGAGCTTTCCTGTTACATGCATGGGTCTCCATCTGTCTATGACACTATCCATGGCTTCTTGATTTGTATTTAGACATAAGTCATTTCATGCAGAGAATGTCTATGTTTCTAGAGTGCCTGGCACAGTAAAAATGAGTCCTTGACTGGGACTGTAATGCAAATTATCATTGCCAGATAACAAAAATAAACACAGTTGAATAATAGACATGTTCTAAAGAAATCAGTCAAATTCCTCATGACTCCAGGTAGAGAAAACTGCATAAGAAACATTACAACTATCATAATCTTATTTTAATCAAGAAATTGTAATTAAAACATCCCAGGTACTGGAATTAGTACTCACTTTTTTTTTTATTTACCTTCTCAGATATATCTAGGAATAATACATCAAATACTTCTTGTAGGATACTGTTTCTCAGTCTACCTGCAAAAAGACACAGACACAAAAAAATCAGTGTCTTGTTTAGTGATTTTTAACTTATTTGCTATGCTAAATGAATTGAAAACAACTGCTAACAGTTAGATATGGCACATAAAACAGTCATCTATACATGCGTGGTTTCTACTGTAATGTCACATCAGCACTATACTAGGGTGTGCTTAGTCATCACATGGAAATAAATGTGTGTGTTTGTTAAATACAGACTGAGGCTTTCTGTACAGTACTTAGAATTAAATGCCTGTCCTTGGCTAACTGTGCAATCATCTGTCCCTTTGCCAAAAGACTAATTTATGAATTTCTTTATTGCAGTTTTAAGGTTTACCGAGTAACCTGGTAGTTGTTCCTTTCCTGTTGTATGATTTTACCATCCTCAAAGGGGAAAGAATTTCTTTATTTTTGTGGTTATCCCAAATGTTTCCTTCTCTAAATGTTTTACCTTTGTAAGAATGAAATGGCTAAGATCTTACACAGATGCTTCTTGTTATTTCGACTCACATCGGTAAATTGTCTCTTATGTGAGTTGCTTGTGGTATTGAAGAGCCCCAGTTTAAAAGTAATGATGCATGTGTGACAAACCTGTCACACCACTAGCAGGAGGATCAGAGAAGGTGTAGCGCAGCACTGGGGCTCCTCTTCTCTTAGACCTCTCATTAGCTGGTTAGCCTCAAGCTCCCTCTCTTAGCTGCTTTCCTTGTCTCAGGGAGACAAAGTCCCATGGGGACTGGGGAGGTGGAGAAGAAACTGTAGCAATTGGGTGTGCATGATTTCACTGAAAGCCACATTTGCCAGGGCCAGCAACTTTCCTAGGCTCCCCATTTTGCTTGATGTGCATCTATTTTAAATGCACTCTGGTGCACAAGGTCTTGCAGAATTGGAAAAAAAAATGAAGACGTCTGAATGATATAGTAGCCAGCTATTATAGAGGTGGGGTTCCATGTCTTTCCTTGGCAATCGGTTCCTAAGTATATGGCCCAAAACTGCATTAACCTTTTAATCTTGCCAATTGTAAATTAATTTTGAATCCAAGCTGTCCACCGAAAAGGTGCAAAGGTCACCTTTAAATTGCTGCTCTGCTACATTGCCCTTTACTCCACGGTCCATATCCTTTGGCTTCCTCCCATTAATTCTGCTTCTTGAACAGCCCTCCTTTCTCCGATTGTATCCTCGTACAGATTATTTGTCCCCCACATGCATTTTTTGAAGCTGCATCTTGTTTTGCCATTTCCTGCAGAAGGTTTCTAATCTCTCTATCTTCACTGATTTACGCAGTGTCTCCCAATTTGGTTCATCTGTGATTTTAATTAACATGTACTCTTTTCCTGTCTTTTGACTAATGAATGAAGATGTTTAAAGAAGACTGGACTCAAGACTGCTCCCTGATGTTCCCCCACTAGAAAACTCATACGATTCAACGCATTTTCATTTATTATCTCACTTTTCTAATGACCCCATGGATGGTTTTTAATCAACATCACCGGGTCCTTAGGTAAGCCAGTCTGATTTAATTTTGTGAATCTCCTCACTCACTAACGTTCACTTCAATGAGAGGGAAAAATCAAAAGCAGAAGAGGCCATCGTTCACCAGAATGCTCTTCTGGGAGATCTGAAAATGAGGAGGGGAGAGTAAATTGTTCATTTTTCCCTCTCAGGTCCCCCACTGCCTTAATATCTATACTTCTAACTTTTGTATATGTGTTTTTGAACCACTTGTCAAGATAAGGAAGTGTTATTATTCCCACTTTTGTGAATAAGCTCCAGCACAGAGAGAGTATGGAGGTGGTCAGCTCTGCTCCTTAGCAGTCCTGGTTACAAATTGAAAGGTTACGGTTGCTTTTGCATTTACAATTCGCTTCTGGAAGTTACTGTGCCATGTTTGCCTGTGTGTCTCTGGGATGACCCATCAAATGAATCATCAAAGTGATTTCAGCTCTTCTTTAAAAAAAAAAAAATTATGTTTATATGTCAGTAGGTACATATCTATATCACAACCTGAATGCCATTTTGATAGACGGAGCCCAACCAGATGTAAAGCAATGCCACAAAAAGTGAGCATCAGATACCCAGAGCACGTAACTGCTTAATCCAGACCACAGGATATAGAATAAGACAAATAGTGATATCTGTTGGATCTGATCCTGAAAGTTGTTTGGGGACCTCCTTCTCACTCCGCTGGGTGTTGAGATATTTCCAGAACAAAGTGCTTGCTTTCATGTTATACTGAAAGTTTCTACTGGATTTGAACCCAAATCTGCAAAGTTTAAAATGTTTTCCCCACCTAAAGACTTCTATCAAGAGGATAATAATGTCAAGTGACGGACATTTCAGCTCCAGTCACTGCTCTGTGACTTTTGTTCCCCAAAAGGTAGGGTCTCACCCTGTCCACATGCACAACTTCCTCCGCTCTCACCTCCTGATAAACAGTTTTAATGTGATAGTTACCTTCCTTCTGAGTGCACCTTTCTGCTACAGAGAAAAGGATTAGGAAAGGAATTTGTAATATAGACCTACTTATGTGGGTTATTTATTTTCTGAAATATTAATTGATGTTTCTGAATCAGCTCTGAAATATTTTCAGAAACTTCAAGTTTATGTTTTTTTTAATAAAAGCCAGAAGGATTTTAAGATTTACAGTTACTCCCTTTTACCTCCCACCCTCCTCAACAATTAAAACTCATGAAGAAGAAGAAAAAAACAACAAATTAAAAAGAAAGAAAGAAAAAGAAGGAAAAAGGAAAAGGACCAAATATTTCCAGGAGCATTAGCAGTCATAAAGAAACTAATCATGAGCTAAGGCAGTGCAGAGGGAGGTAAAAACATACAGAAGACAATTTAGAAAGTATTTGCAGGACCGTAATTTATAAATACTCATTATGTTTTTTAAACACATGTCAAAATTAATATGTGTTCTTGCTTCTGCCTTTCTCATTAATATATTTAGTGCAAAAAGACATGTACGACAAAATGTTTGTCATCAATATTCTCCTCATATTAGGAAATAATTACACAGTTTTTTCACTCTAAACTTTTAAACATGGCCTAGCTGGATATGAATTGCCTTTGACTTGCTAAAAATAGGCATAAAAAACTTAATCTAAGTCCATTGCCAGTGCAATTTATACTATATACAACTTCAGTAAGGTGCAATTAGCAGTGCATTGCAATAATTTATTATTGGTTTAAAAAGCCTGAACAATCAGGACCTTACAGCAAAATGGTAAAATGGGAAGCTATGCACCAGACATATTTTTCTGGTTCATATTAATTCAGTTATTTTACCTTTGGTGCACATTCATCTATCTGTACAATGCGAATGCTCCATTGAGAAGGATGCTGAATATTGAACCTTTGGCTCAGTATGAAATATGAACTCTGAGGCATAGCTGCAATAATACTTCCATTTGCATTATTATGATTAACATTCCCCTGAATAGGAAGCATCCAGCAATATTAATTGCAGAAATAGTGAGATTCCTATTGTCATAAATCACTGTGCAGTGTAAAGCGAGCTTTCCGAAAACCTTATAGAAAAATTCTTTTTTTGTGTGTGTTTTTTGGAGTTAATTTCAACCTCATTTTCACCAAGCTTTCCCATTTGTGTCTGTTGACAAGACAGTAATTATGCTTTTCTCTTGATTAACACATTCTTTTCTGTAAGGTCCCAAACAGCTTTCACATGAAAGGCTGAATTCAACAGAGCGTGGTTTTTCTCATTAAAGACTTAGCACTCACCCATCGTTAATTTATCACACAGATACTTCCTGTCTCATAGGAAGAAGGGTGGCCTTGAAGCTAATGCTCTTGATTTGATCAGAAGTTTTTTCCACAGCAGTTGAAATGAATGCCTTTTCAAATGAGATGATTATTGAATTCATTTAACAAGAGAAAAAGCGGGGAAAAAAGGTACACAGTTTCTCTACTAAAGCACGGATCCAACTGACTTAGTAATATAAGTCTTATTTTTTCCTTTAGTACATCAGGATCTACTTCACAACAGATATATCAGGGAAATTTCTCCATATTAAAACTATATAATCTCTAAATCTGTACAAACTTTTCGAATCTTTATACATATATTTGTACCTTCGTATCAAGTCAGCATTTCCCCCTTCACTACCACTTCTTTCCTCAACACTGTTAGCAAAACTGGCAATATTCACTGATGAATCAAAGCAAGCAACCTTGACATTTGGTGCATCAGCTTTCATGTGTAACATGCATACGATGCAATGATTTATTTTGATGTATTACATTGTACCCTAAAGAGCATCCAAAAATAAAAATACTTGCATTGTCAGTGTTGTGAAAACAAGACATCTGCATCAGGGACCACACACAAGGAGAGAACAATTTGTTGCCACCTGTGCTCTTCAATCCAGACTTTTGATGGTTGGATTGTTTTGGTGCTTCCTTGCTTGGGGGCTTTTTGGATATGATATTTCCGAATGTATCATATATTCAAAAAGCAACTGAGGGATCTAAGCAGTGTTCAGCACTGGTGTAGTAGGGCTTCTCCTGGCTAGCCTGCTGCTTTGGTCCATCCTTGGTTAACTCACAGTAGGTGTGATGTCCCTGATGCCCCTGAATTATTGTGGTACCAATTGAAATCCTAATGACAGTGTCCACATTGCAAGAAAACAGCTCCCCTGGGATGGCAGCAATTAGTGCCATCCTCAGCAGCACAAGAAATGGCCGTAGGAAGCCTGACTGCTGCTGGGAGGCTGAGGGAGAGAGGTAGTGGATGTGCCGTCACCAAGGCTGTACAAACTAACTATGCTTTTCTGGCCAGGACTACTTTGGTCCCCACCTCAGGGCCTGTTGTGTTGGCACTAGACGATCCTGCAAAGCAGTTAGACATGTTCTGTAGTCCACTCCATCCCAAATAATGCTTTTAGCAAAGGTTTACTGTTAAGCACATACTTAAGTCTCACTGAAGTCAGCAGAGCTTCAATATGTGCCTGAAATCAAGTGTTCC